TGGAGTGGCACTCGCCTTGGTCCTCGTGCTTAGCCTTGCCCCTGTCCCAACCACCGCTGAAGACCGCCCCGACGCCTCTTCACCAGATGCGTGGTTCATGGCGATGTCGAGCAGGTCACGGGTGGTATGGGGCTTCACACAGCCGAGCTTGTGGATCAAAGGACTCGTAGGTTGTCCCAGAGAGGAAAGCGCTGATGACATCCGCATCAACGACATCAGGAAAGGAGTTGCACTGCTTTGATAACCTGCGGATGTAATCCTGCAGGGACTTGTTGGGCTCCTGCTGATAGCTCTTGAGGTCCCAGGAATTCCCAGGATGGACATACGTCCCCTGAAAATTTTCGACGAAGACCCTCTTGAGATCTGCCCAGTCACGATGCTGTCGGGCGGAAGGAATTCAAGACATGCTCGAACATGCTCCCCCACATAGATGGGGAGGTACTGGATGATGAAGTAGTCATCAACCACTCCTCCGGCTCGGCAGGCGAGCCAGAAGTCTTCGAGCCATATATCGGGGTTTGTCTCCCTGGTGTATCTAGCGATGTTGGTGGGCGGTCAGAAGCGTTGTGGGAACGACGCTTTTTGGATGCAATGACCAAAGGCCCATGGCCCCAAGCCATCCGGGCTGGGGCTTCGATCGTTTGGTCGGCCACCATGCCTAGGGCGCGTGTCCTCACACTCCTCGATGGTCAGGCTGGGGCCCATGCCGCCTGCTCTCGCCACCATTTGATGGGCGTTATCATCGTGCCTGGCGTGGCGTCAATTGTTGATGATGCTGCGAGCGTCATGGTTTGGCCCGAGCCATTCGTGCACAGGTGGTCGGTGTGGAGCGGGCGCGGGTTGGGATGTAGTGCAGGCGTGGCTTCCTGCTCCACGCCCGGCAACTACTGTGGTGAGTGGACGGAGCGATTCGACTGGTGCGGCCCCAGTCCCCCGGTTGGGCAAGAGGCCGCGAGGCATTGTCGTGACGCGGAGCTCTCCGCCTACTGAACAGCGGCGGTCTCCACCAGCGCCCGGAGGTTATAGTGGATTGCCTGTTCCTAGGGTCGGTAGGCTCGGGGAGGCCGCGTAGAAGCATCGTCGCAGCAGCGATGTTCTGGCCAGCCCGAGCAAGCTGAGGTGTAACACCCTGGCCCAGGGCTTAATAGGATTAATAGGATACTCGTACCAACAAGTTGCAACTACTTTTCTAGAAGCCCATCTTTTAAGAACTCCAAGGTTAAGCGTGTTTGGCCAGGAGCGATGGGTGACCGACCGGGAAGTTCTTCCCGGGGGCGCATGAGTGAGGACAAAATGCGTAGAAAAGACTGGTGTTGGTCTGTGAGGGCAGTCTATGTCCTAGGAAAGCTACCAGATGTAAGCGGGTCTGGCCTCAAGGAGGCGGGACGTTACAGAATGGTATCAAAGCCGACCCTTGTGGTTTCACGGGTGCGTGTGTCGATTCATGAGCATGGTGTGCGCATGGTGGTGTGGACCTAGAGTGGTCACCGAAGATGGCACATGCGCCGCACCGACACCTGGCGTGGCCAAGAGGGGACGTTCTCGTTTCGGGGTTGACCGACGAGGACGTCGGTCTCCTAAGGGGGTGAGGATGTAACACCCCGGCCCAGGGCTTAATAGGATTAATAGGATACTCGTACCAACAAGTTGCAACTACTTTTCTGGAAGCCCATCTTTTAAGAACTCCAAGATTAAGCATGCTTGGTCTGGAGCGATGGGTGACCGACCAGGAAGTTCTTCCTGGTGGCGCATGAGTGAGGACAAAATGCGCAGAAAAGACTGGTGTTGGTCTGTGAGGGCAGTCTATGTCCTAGGAAAGCTACCAGATGTAAGCGGGTCTGGCCTCAAGCAGGCGGGACGTTACATGAGGGGGTCATCCCCTCCGTCTAGTATGTTATGCTAGTCTTGACGGGCACGACCCCGAGTGTCGCTTGCCGAGTTATGCGCATGTGGCACAGCGTGATGCGCCGAGCGCTCTGGCGCAGGCGGCGACTGGCTCTGCCGCCTTTGCAGTAACTCCTCGTCGTGCTGCTGTCCCGAGGCATCCGCCATAGCGCACTCCCGGGACAGAGGGTGGTCAGGTGCCATGACGTCACCGATGCTGGAGCCATCGCTTTCAACCTCGTCATCGACGAGGTCATGGAAGGAGGCGGTAGCATAGCCCGCCATCCCCATGAACTTGGACGTGAGATGGGGCGGCGTCAGCATCCTTCGGAGTCCCCGCTTGCACGCCTCCATGAGGGACGCGAAGCCGTAGGGGAGCCGATCGCACAGCGGTCGTGGTGGGGACAACGGGGTCCCTCCGGAGAGCCGGCGGAAGGTGTTCAATAGTGAGTAAAGAACAATATGTACATCACTCATCGTGGGGTTTGAGCCCAGCATGGGCTCGAGGCGAAGCACGGGTGTCTCGATGTCGTCGAGTGGCCCATTGCAGTCGGTGGAGGGCGCTCCTCCTCCAGTGGGCGTCAGGACAAGCGCCTCTTCGTGGAGGCGAAGTACACCGAGCTGGTCGGCGACAAAGTCTAGACTTCCGAAGAGGAAGGTCTAGAGTGGCATGAAGACGGGAGGAGACCACATCCCAGCAAGTGGGAGCGTGGGAAACTCTAGCGAGCCAAAGCGAATCGTATCACTTGAGCCCGCCATGCCGAAGATGGTGGAAAGGTGGGCCATCCGATGACCAAAGACGTGAATGCACAGTGTCCTCCCCACGGACGGCGCCAACTGTCGGTGCGAAAAGTGACCAACAAGTAAATATTTGTAGTTTTGTCGTGCCTTATGATCGGATGTGGCCTAGCACTCAATGACACATGATTTATACTGGTTAAGGCAACAGGACCTACGTCCAGTTGAGGTCCGTCGGTGACTTTATTCTTGAGCCTAGGTGCTCGAAGTTTGCTGTGGGGTTACAAACGAGTAAGGAATGAGAAAAGGGGTGTTAGAGGCCCGGTCGGACTCTGAACCGAGTGGAAGAGAGTGACGGATGCTCAAACATGCGCTAAGTATTGAAACATATGCTCTGTGTGTCCGAGCTTATCAGCTGTTGAGAGCGTGTAGACTATGTAGCTGTCGAGTCGACCAGTCTTCGGGGGGGGCTTTTAGGAGAGAGCTCATCCCCTTTTATAGTTGAAGGAGATGGCCTTACAAGTCAGAAAAAAGAGAGAGTGTATACGTGTGCCGCCTAATCTTGTTGCCCACACCATCGGGTACGGGATGGCCGTCGGCGCCCACAATATTGTTTATGTTCAGACACATCTGGTAGGCTCCACCATGTTCGCCTGGCATGCCCCGATGTCACCATCTGCAGGTGCGCATGGCATGGCAGGGTAAAGTCCTTGGTATTGTGGTTGACTTGAGCGCCTCACCTTATCTGCTCCACCTGCTCCCCAGGCCTACACCGAGCGAGCGTCCTCGGTCAGTCGTTCCCAGTCGGTCCCGACCGTGTCGGTCAGTAAAGAGGAACGAGCAGAGGTCCGGCGTATCCTCGGTCGAAGAAGGGGGTTGGAGTCGGACTGCGGTCCCCACCTTGGCCAGGCCTTCCGGTCGGGGACTAGATCGTTGTCTCGGACTGTCATTATGTATCTGGGCCGGTCCAGGTGCGTGCTGTCGCTGCGCGGCCTGCTGGGCTGGGTTTTGCAGGGAAGCGGGTCCATTGGGGACCCTGGGTTTATGAACCCGACACTAAGACTAGCTTATTGAATATAAATGATGTATGTAAATACATAGTCCAACTCATTTATACATCTAATAAGCACAAAAAAAACTTCAAATCACACACCTCAAAGCAAGTTTACTAACAACACACCAACCCATATTGTTATCTAAACCAGTGCAGTGGAACCCTAATGCACTGCCAACCAAAACCAATCACAAAAAAAAACAAAGAAGTCCAACAACTACAATATGAACCATAATATAATATACACGAGATTAGCCAAAGCAACTTTCATTAAACCAAAAGAAAGCTAGTATTGCACACAACAGTGTAAACCAGAGCAGTATAAAAACATCAACTAAACAAAAAAACAATAGAGGTGAGGGAGTCATACCTCATGCACAGGACCGATCAAACTTGAAATGCAAATGCAAACTTTATCAAAGACAAATAGAGGATGGGAAGAAGAGAAGAGAAAGAACACAGGAACGTGAGCTCACCTCGAGGTCGCCCAAACTGAAGGGAGACAGAAGAGAGGGAGGAAAAAGCAGGTGGGCCGCGGCCTTTATATGGGCCTGTCGCGCCAACCCACGCTATGCCATGCCAGCTCCGGTCAACCATCGACGCCAGCATGGCTCCCCTTGTCACGCCAGTGTATGTGACGTGACAACGTGGTACTGTCGCGCCAAACTTCTTTTTTGGGATTTGTATTAAAATATTGATTAAAAAATAAAAAAAAATCCCAAAATTCCAACCAACGGCATGTACAGCGCAGATGAAATTGGTTGATCCTCCACAGCCTCCTTCTGCATATGTATGCTGCTGCTCTGCAGAGCTGATCAATTGGTCGGAAATGGTACAGAGTTGATGACCCAGTTAAGCTTTCAGTTGTTTCTCGAGGTGTGCATTCAGCAGAAACGCGCTGCAGTTCACGACGTTTTTTTTTACAAATGTATGATGTATCGCCCGGAGAAAACAGAGTTTAACAAAAGAACAGGTAGGGAAGCATCCGAACTTAACATGTATGGGATTTTACTTTAACAGAGCTTCATGATTCATAAACTCATACAACATCACAACAGTCGACAGATATACAGTACATACAACAAGTAATGGTCCATAATGATAACATCTATCCATACGCCGCTCTTATTGGGTGCATATTTACACAAGCGGAAGTATCCAAGCAGACATTAAGGGTACTACAACAGCTAGGCGCCGTAATTGGTTCCAAACAGACATTAAGGGTACTACAACAGCTAGGCGCCATAATCGGCTAATCGCAGTAGGCTTTTATCAAAGGGAAAAAACAAAGGCGAGCCTGACGATGTCCTGGGGCAGTGGGATCTCATGACATGCTTATTGCTGTGACAACTTCAGGGTGGTAGTGAAGCATCTCCTCCCACATCATTTCCCTGATCATCTCTGAGCTGATATTTTCATCTATGTCGAGATCGATGGGCACTTGGGCTGGGGGATTTGCACTTGGATCATACAGAGGGGACATGTAAGGGTGCTCGAGAGCCTCGGTGACACTAATCCTTTTGGTGGGGTCGAAGATGAGCATCTTCTGCAATAGATCAATGGCAAGAGGGTGTGCATGTGGGTACATACTTGCAAGGGGAACACCAGGAGTGTAGGGGAGGGACTTAATGTATCTCCGAGCTTTTGGGTTGTCGATGAACTCTAGGTCAGCCTCACTCATGGTGCCGAGAACGTTCACTATGAGCTTGAGCTGATTTAGGCATTCAGTTCCTGGAAATATTGGCTTGCGGCCAAGGAGCTCAGCAAAGATGCACCCAACAGACCAAACGTCTATGGATGTTCCATAGTTGTCACAGCAGAGGAGCAGCTCAGGAGCTCTGTACCAGCGGGTGACGACATATTCAGTCATAAACTGGCCTTTACTACTGTTTGTGCGTGCAAGGCCAAAATCACATATCTTCAGATCACAGTTTGCATTCACCAGCAGGTTTCCAGGTTTTAGGTCTCTGTGGAGTATTTCTGCTGAATGGAGATATTTCAGTCCTCGGAGCAACTACAATGAAGAAAAAGAACAGTGCATCAGATTATTAGCGACGACGTAGATAGCAAATATCAAGATGGAATGACAAAAAAAAATACAAAGGTTCTCGAAATTAAAATGAAGCTAGACTGCAGAAAGTTAGGTTGAATAAGAAATTCATCAACCTGGTCCTTACTTCATGTTGTGGATAAGCTCTACTTTTCATAGTTTCATGCAGAACTTATTAACTACTGGATAGATTCTTAAGCCCTACGCAGAACTACTTAGTAACTATTGGATGGACTCTTTGTAAATATGCAAGCTGGCTGAAAGAACTGCTAGCTTTACCAGATGATCCCATTTTTCAATAAAAGCTGTTGTTTTGTTTGGAACAGGAAGTCTGATCAAATAAGGTGCAAGTTGTCTTACTCAACATATCATTTGGAGTGGGAGATCTGGCTCGAGCAAGTCAGTAAAATAAGCTGTAATATGTAAACATCTAAAGGGAGGGTGTTAAGCTGCATAAAGCATGTGGGCAATAATATATAATTGTATATTTGATAAGCCAATGAGAGACTGACTGAGATTTGTCTGCATGTGACAACATAAGCAGATAAAATCAAACTTGAGAATTTCAAAACTTGTCAAAGAGGAAACATGGTGACAGTTACTAACATGTGCAGCATGCTCGACTGCTTGCTGATTTGGACTTGGAAAAAAAAAAGAGGGTGCATATCAGATTTTGACTATTCTATGGACAAAAATATAACCCGCAAAGTAGGATTCTCCTTTTAAGCCCGAAAGAAATAGAAAGGCTTAAATAGCTCCAGAGCATTAAATTCGAAGTTGTCTATATATTTAAAGAGTAACCTGAGCTTCAGAAGAGAAAATAACTGGCCAATAAATGAAGTGCAAGGATTTTTGTGAAACTAACCAGAATATCACTGAAGATTATGCAACTATTTCATACTGCCCTTCGTATTCTATCGGGATCTCATGATTTAATAATATTCTTTGTGAACAAGTATTATTTATAACAATTTTGTGTGAAAACCTTACAAAAAATATGTTCAGAAGACACAAATGCAACAAGGCCTAGATTGATTTTGATATTATGACTAAATTGACACCCAGACTAGATCATCAGTCCAACAAAATCAACTTCAAATTAGTACCACTGCTAATAATACTCCTTCCCTGCAATGTTAGTACAGTGTGCACCACACAACAACACTTATTTAGGTAACTAATAGCTAAAGAGCATTACAACACACATAATCTCAGTTTATTTGTTGAACAACACAGATATGAAAGAGCGAATTCAGAATAGAGAAGAGTGATCCAAGTATTACCTGAAAAAGAAAATACTGGCAGTGGTCATTGGAAAGGCCCTGAGGCGATTTGATTATCTGGTGCAAATCAGTATCCATGAGTTCGTAGACCAAGTACACATCCTTAAAACTCCTCCTGTGTATTGGCATCATTATGTCCTTCAAAGCAATGACATTCTCATGGCGGAGATGGCGAAGGAGTTTCAGCTCCCGCAAGGTCCGTAGTGCATCCACACGGTTGTCGAAAACATTGTGTATCTTCTTTATTGCTACTTTCTCATTTGTCTCACGATTGATGGATGAACACACTATCCCATAAGCTCCTCGCCCAATGGGCTTGATCGGCACATATTTAGTGTCTATCTCGAATAAGGTCTGCCACATAGTGTAGTAATGCTTTCCTTGGCTCCCGATTCCATTTGGAGGATCCACCATCATCGCCATTTTCTAGTAAGGAAACGAAAGAAAATAATTTAGTATATAAGCGATGATTAAAAGAGAAAAGTTAGAAGAATTACAAATGCAGAAGACCAAAGAACTTGTATAATTGAAGTCAAAGACCAGATATATAGTCATATAACAGTGCGGTCACAGTTATCTAGAGTGCCCACAAACTTCAAGTCAGCTGCAACAGCTATGCTACAATGTGGTGAACTGACATGCTCTAGACTGAAGCTTCTCAGTTGAGACTTGAGAGCACATCCACCTCATGGGCGCGCCAAATAATATGTCCTCATTTTTTATTCTGAATGAACATTAAGCTTATACTCTAGCCTAGTGAGAATATTTAGGACCTAAACCAATATTGCAGTGTGTACCATAAAGCTATGATGCCCATAACATCATAATCAGATCCTGCAGTTGGTACCACCAATGAATTAAAACAGTACATGTTTGATCAAACGAACAACATGCAATCAAACATAATTGCAGTGTTTACCAAAAGGTTGCACATCGTTTCAGAGAAGAAGCACAGCAGACAAATGGAAGGAGGCACAATGCAAGGCAGATGTAGCAGTAAGTACGAAATGCAAATACATAACGTGCTTGGTAAACAACACTATCGTTTAAGCACATATTCAATGCTAGGTCAACTAACCTTGGCAACTCCGCCTCTCCCTCTATGAAGTAGCTCTCACCACACAACCATTCCGGTTGGTACCCCTCGATCGTTAGTCGGTTGCTACCGTTAATCACCCAACTCACCTCCACCACCATTCAATGCTATAGAATATCCTCTGCGCTACAATCACAAGCTAACTTCCTAATCCCAAGCATGCAATTAACTTTAACCCATATGGGGCAACCCGCAACCACGAAGACGATTTTTTTTTCGCGACCATGCTTTGCATGTATATCATTAAGAAGGAAAAGGAGTTGTTACATAGGTAAACGCCGGTTGGCCTAGAATGCGAGCGGCACACTACGGCCGAACAAAGTTAACCCTGCAACAGAATAGCGGTGGCGCTAACTTAGTATTACATAAGAACAAATTTTGCGACTTTTCCGACCAGCGAGGATCAACCAAAGTCCCTGGACGCCCACAGCATGGCTAGGTGGCCGTACCCCGCCTGAGACCAACGATCCACCTCCTCCTCAATCATGGTAGCAACATCGATGGGCGAGCGGCCAGCCCCATGGAAAACCCTCTGGTTACGTTCCTTCCAAAGACACCAAGCTCCAAGGATGATGAGGGAGTCGAAGCCTTTGCACTTCGCCGTTACGAGCTGCATTCGGTGCAGCAGCGACCAGTCGAGGAAGGCGACCCCAGGCGATGGCGCAAGGTTGGCGAGGCCGATGGGAGCCAACACCCTGAACCACACCTCCCGGGCGAACACACATTCACCAGTGAGATGCCGTGCCGTCTGCCCGTCTCCTGCACGAAGACGAATAAAACACGAGCAACTAAGCACAGAACCAGCAGATCGATCACGGAGACCGACCAGCCGAACCGGTCATCCCATCACATTCCCTGATCATGGCCGACGCGGGTAAGACGGAATCCCACCATGAATCCGTGAGCAGAGTTCCAGATAGATGGTCGGTGCCAAATCAGCCAAATCACACTAAGCTGCGCATGCAGGCGCGAATTCCGAGCTCGAAATTAGAGCCCGGGCGACCCAGATCAGGGGCACGAAATGACGCCCCCAGCTGTCGGGAAGCGAGATCGGTCGTGTCCGGACACGAACGGACGGTCGTCGGAGCGCAGACCAAACCAACACAGACAGACAGAAAGGAACGAAGGAGAAAGCGCGGAAGATTTCACTCACACGAGAGGAGGGGAGAGGACGGCGCGCCTGGCAAAGTGGGTGGGTGGAGCAGCTAGCTAGGGTCAGAGCGGCAGCGCCATGCGCGCGGCCGAATCCCTCGCCTCCGGTCCGCTCCAGCCGCGGGAGGGGAGGAAGAGGAGGAAGAGGGGAGGGGAGGGAAGGGAGGAGTCCCGTGCTGTGAGGAGGATGGGGGAGAGGGAAGGCGAGGAATATTCTGACCTGCTGACTGACGGATCATGGTCGCATCGCCGGTGCGAGCCGTCGATGCGCCGCTGCCGGGCGCCGCAGGGCCGTCGGATGCGGGCGCTACGTCGCGCGCGCCCGAGACCGACACGGAAGTCGGGGAGACCGGGAAGGAAGGGAGGAAGGAACGGACGCGACGGGGCGGGGCGGGCGGCAGCGGGCAGCGGGAGAGGGGCGGGCCGAAGGCGGGGGTAGGTGACGTGCCGACCAGGTCCAGCCGGCCGGTCCAGCTCCAAGCCAGGGCACGTGACTGATAGCGCCACAACCACAACGTGATTGCTTCTTTACGCCTTCTAACTATTTGCCACTCTTACGGTGGCTGTCTCTCCGTTTGCCAATTTTAACGTGCCAATTACAAAATTGCCTGAGAAAACCGTAACCTTGCTAATATTTTACCATTTTCGATGACGTGGCACGCCGCCCGATTATTTAATGGTGTGCCGTGGTTGATTATCACAAAACTTGACGTCCCCGTACGCTTGGCCTAATTTGTGCGGCGCTAGCGAGCCCCCGTCGATCCCCATCTCTCTCGCTAGTGGAACCAGATTATCGGTACCTTCTTCTTGCGCGTGAGGAAGCGATCGAAAAGGTGCCGCCCAGCGTCGCGCTTGGTGAGGAGCTCCTCCGAGGTTGAAGAGCTTCTTGACGGTGGCGGGATGGAGGAGTGCTTTCGAACTCCGCGTCGGGTATGGCCCCGACGGCCTATGGATGGATATGACATGGTCCGGGCTCGATCCACGGCGACACGAAAGCAACGCCGGACGCGGACGCCGAGGCGGTCGAAGCCGAAGAAGAAAGCGCGCAGACGACGATGCCGTCGGGGCAACACGGCGGCCGTGCGGCGTGGGCACATGGTCGTAGAACCCGTGCTTCGTCGAGGTGACGACGAGAGCGTCTCCTCCCACTGCGGCCCCCGATCACCGCGCCGCCAAATACACCTCCTTGACGAATCGGCTGGCCTTCGACCACGTCATGGGGGACGGGTGGTCGTCGTCCCGGAGGAGGATCTCGGTCAAAGTATAAGCGCTGCTCCACGGCGACGTCCAGGTGGGCAGCTTTTTCCCTCCGGCGATGTGACGCGGAAGTCGAGGTCGAAGGCATGGAAGCTGCCGCGTGCTTGAGCTGCCGGAGGTTCCGGAGAAAAGCGTCGGCGGGGTGCTGGTAGTAGATGCCGAAGGAGGAGAAGCCCTCGTCGTGGAGCGCATCAAAGATGGTCTGGCTGCATGGTGGAGCCCCCGCCACCGCTTTTGGTGTCGTTCGGACGAGGACGTGGGAGGTGGCGGAGTGCACGAATTTTGCAACAGCCGGTTGGCTTGCGTCGCCGCCGGGTTCGACGCGAACCACCGCTAACCGCACACGGCGAACTCCTTAACCAGCTCGCGGTACACGGCACGCAGCGTCGGGCGGAACTCGCTCATGGCGGTGCCGGACATGCCGGCTTTCTCCTTCTCCGCTGCGCTTGAAAGCGGTCATGGCGTGGCCGGCACGCCCGTGGGTGATGGGGCGCGTTATGGCGGCATCGATGAAAGGTGTCCCGTACACCGCCTTGAAGCCGGTCATAGGCGGCGCTAGCGATGAAAAGAGAGAGCTAACGGGCAAGCTGCGTGGAGGAGGCGAATGAGCTGATCAAGCGCGTCAACAGCAGCGAGCTCATGGCGGTGGACGGCGGTGTGGAGGAGGGGGAGCTGACGAACAGTTGCGGGCGCCGTTGGTCAGCGGAGACGGAGGCGTTAACTTCCACGCTGGCGCGCCGATATGGCATGACACGTCAGCGAAAATGGCAAAATATTAGTCTGGTTACTGTTTTCTCGGGTAATTTTATAATTGGCACGATAAAGTTGGCAAACGGAGAGGCAGCCACCATAAGAGTGGCAAATAGTTAGATATCTTCAAATAGAAAGAAAGTTTTCAAGTATTATCACTTTACGTTGCAACTAGGATACCTATTATGCCTAGAAATTGGAGAGCGTACATGTGTCAAACCATCAAGCATCGCTGTAAGGTGACGGATATAAACACTATTAGGTAACACTCACCCTGTGAAGCAAGTCCTACGTGTTGAGAAAATAGATCCTCAGTTTATACTCCCTCCGTCCACGAAATGATGTAACTTTGACCAAGCTTATAGTAAATAATATTAGCATTTACGTGCTCAACTTTGCATGTGGTATTCTCCAATGGTGATTGTGGTTGTTGAACCCGTGATGACGTGGCAGTATGAGAAGCTGAAAAATATTATAGTAGACGTGTCCTATTTAGATATAGAGGATTTGCAGGTTAACAACCTTCGTTATATCCTCTGCAGAACACAAAGATGCAAATTTTATTTTTTACTTTCATTGATGCCTCATGCAGAGTTTTAATTCCAACCTGACATGACGCAACTTTTATTGGATGATCAATTCTCACAGTTCGTGACTACATAAAAAACAGAGAACTACACATGCAGGCTATTTTGTGAAAAGAATATAATAATAAAACTTAAATTTAGTATAGTTATTGCTATTATGTCTGTTTTACGTATTAAAATTCTTTTTTTATTTGGCTCTCCTCCCCCCTCAACTACAGGGCATTGCACTATAGAGTTTTACATGGTACTACATATCAATTCTTCAACCATGAATTCTCATATACAACGCTGCAAAATTTTCGCAGCATCACACGCGGTATCATCTAGTTTAATTAACACCATTGCTCAATGTTTGTTAATAAATGGTTGATCCCATCCAACACCTATTAGTATATATCAAAGCAGGAGAGTTTGGCCGCCTCTCAGGCTATCCACGTCGCCACCGTCGTTTACAGTCGTAGGATCTTCGCTTTGACGTCCAGATTTCGTAGCAAGAAACGGTGCTTTCGTCGATCATCATCTGCTCGTCTGCGTGTTTCGGAGCCTTCGTTCATTCATTTTCTCGCCTCATCATTCTGTGCCCGTCCTCATCCTCGCGCAAGCACGCTCCTCCTCGCTCGCTCCTGAGTCGCCACGCCACGCGGCCGAGGCGCAGCTTGGCAGGCTTGGCCGACCTCGGCGGTGGTCGTCCCTCCGCGCGGCGGCGGCCACACTCCTCCTCCTCTTCCTCCTCCTCCTCCTCCTCCACCACCACCACCACCACGCCACTTCCTCCTCGTGACGCAAGGCAGCGGGTCGTGCGGCCTAGGGTTTGGCCCCTCCATCGCATGGTCGTCCCCACCCACGGCGCGGCAGCTGCAATCGAGGCCGGCGCAGCGGGCGGACGGCTCTGGCGGCGGAGGGACCTCCATGGTGGGCGTGGATGACGACGGGGAGGTCACGTCAGCAACCTCGGCGGTGGATCTGAAGCGGCCGCTCGCGTGGCCCCTCCCGGCGGCGGATCTGAAGCTGGAGCACGGCGTGGACCTCGCGCCGGCAACGGAGGCGGTGGATCAACGCCGAGCAGGCGGATCCAGCGCGAGGCCTCCCCGTCTCCACTGGATCCGGCTGCGTGGGCTCCACCGTCGCGTTGGACGGTGCCACACATCGCGAAGGTGCCCCCCCCCCCTACGCCACTTGCCGCCTCGCGCCACTAGCAACCGTCCCATAGGTTCGCCTCTCACGTGCCGCCTTTGGCGGCGACGGCGCGCTTCTTTGCCTGCGCCGCACGACGGGCCCTAACGGTGGGCCCTAACGGCGGTGGGCGTCCTCGCCACGAGAGCGCACGATAGGCCCATGCTTAGCGGTAGCCGCCTTGTTGCTTCCCCATGCCCCTTCCCACCGCTCCGTGTGTGCTCCACCAAATGGTTGGATTTCTCCGCTCCCCATTCAATCTATGCAGTGAATCGAGTGAAAAAAATTCCCTTTATCTCCTTTCCTACCTTGCCGACGCGCGTGATGAACTAGTTTGCATTATAGGAACGAACTTATACTATATACCATTGCTTAACGAGCACTCATATCTAGCACTTCTCATTAGACATATCCTTGTATATATTAAAAAGATACAAAGGGCCAGTGGTAGTGCCTTGAATTTTTAAAAACATGTATGTACTCTAATCTAACTTTGTAAATGGGTAACAGAAAATATCACTTTGTATCTGCTATAATTGCTAGACCACAAATTTTGGTGGGAAAATCCACGTCGTCCATGTGCGCCAATTCATCGGGCATGGCAATCTAAATGGCCTACAAGTTTGTAATCTAGTGTCGAACACATTGTTGGTATCATCGCCACAGTATATGAAACCTGCTTGTATATCTCCAAACACTATAGTAGATTTGCAGAAGCCTCCGCTAAGGAAGAGTGCCTCATCTTTGGCGAGCCCATCCTGAGCGACTGAAAACCACTTACCCATGTTGACATCCGCTTTAGCGACCTTGACACTCATAGTGTAAGGTTTGAAATGTATAGGTGAAAAAACCAGGCGCCTCATGTAACACCCTCGGTGTTACAATAAAAATCTTTTGCTAAAACATGTCATGAGCATCATGGTTATGTGCTAGTGTATGTAATATAGTGTGTAAATCAATTTACGTAACTTAAAACGACCTACGGAAATGCATAACGCAAGTTGTTCGTGACGCATGAAATTATCAAGTAACGATGTTCGCGAATTTTTATTGAGCGAAAACACTATAGAACGTATATACGGAACTTTAGTAAAGTTGGTAGTATGAACTTTGTAGATGGCGATGAAATACCTTCGGTCGAGAAAGGAATTCACCAGCTAGCATACCTAATAGCTTGGAAATCGAAGTTGACGCGAATCCGAGCAAGACTTAACCAAATCTCTTAAGTCGGAAAATGGTTTGACAAGGCCAAGTTTGACATTTTTTGTAAAAGAACCGGGTTAAGGAGTGATGGGGTATTAGGGTTTGTTTTAGTAGCCTAACATGCCCTCTTGAGTATAGAATAGGTGGTTCGGTGTTTGAAGTAATGAATTTGATTTTTGGGGCGCTTTAAAAATCATGCATGGCACGTTTCCGGCCGGTGTCAGCGTTTGGGAGCGGTCACCATGCCTCGGCTCGGCGCCGCAGTCACTGGTTTACTTGACGACGCGCACACCGCCCGCAGGCCACAGGCACTTCTTGCTTGCCTCTCATTAGGCGGCCGGCCTGCCTCACCACCTGCGAGCATTTACCAGCAGCAGCGCATCTGCTGGCCAGCCACTACCACCACTGTCTGTGCTTTTGCTACCCATTCGGTTTGTCGCCTTCGCTGCTGCTGCGCCACCTGTGTGTTCGCTCACGCTGCGGTCTTTGGCGATGTGGCGCACCAGCTTCTTCTGCGGTCGGCACATGGCCTCTGCCAGCACCACCGCGCCATAGCCGCCGCCGTCTCGTCACCGTGCTACCTCACACATGTTCCCCTGTGCCACGTCGTCCGCGTCAGGCGCACTACTGTGTATGCGCACGGCACTAAACGCGCAGCCGCTTCTGCTCGGGCTGGCGTTCGCGTCCGCTAAAGGAGCGACGGCACCCGCTGCGTGTCATGCCACTACCTCTGCCATCCTTGATCTACCATGTGTGCAGCCATTCCCCGTGGCATCTTTGTCCTCTTCCATTTAGTAGCAAGCTCCATGCTGCGCCCCCAGTCACCTCTGCCATAAATGGCGTCGTGCCGGTGTCACCGAGCCGCGCCGGAGCCGCTCGCAGTGTTGGGTCGCTTCTTGAGTAATTGTGCTCGCCTATGACTCAAGTGAAAACCTAGCTACCCGCCAAGACCACCCACTACTGTTGTCGTACCATCTCGAGCCCCAATTTGAAGATTCCCCGTCGTCGGTCATCCTTAAGACCGAACGACGGCACCCTCACAATTCGCCTCGCACTGTCCACCTCCATCCAATTCCTTGCAACCGTGACTAACTTCAGAGGTTAGCTCATGGTTAGGATCGAGCCGC